GGGCCAAGGTCAGGCCCACCAGCAGTACAGGCCAACGCCGGCAGCAGCACGTGCCTGGGGTTGGGATGGTGGCAGCACCAGCACAGGTTTACGGCCCCAGCCCCGTGTGGGCCCCGGCCTGGCAGCGGTACTGGGCTGGGGCCGGCGGCGCTGGCTGGGGCCAGGCGCACTGGCAGTATGTGGCCGCGGCTGTCTGCAGTGCCAAGATGGAGTCGGGGCCTGCGCACACCCGTGGGCCCAGCCCCCCGTCTCTTCCCAGCACTGCAGATGGCCCCGGCCCAGCAGTGGCACTGGGCTGGGGTGGGCGGCAGTGGTGGAGGTGCTGGCTGGGGCTGGGCCTGCCGACAGCGCTGGAATGGGCCTGGAGCCCGCACAGATCCACAGACCCTGGCCTCATCCCAGCGCTGCTGACAGCCCTGACTTGGCACCAGGGCTGGGCTGGGGTGGGCGGTGGTGCCGGTCAGAGCCGGGCCCGCAAGCAGCACGTGGCTGGGGCCATCTGTAGTGCCAGGACGGGGCCAGGGCCCACGCAGGTCCACAGCCTCGGCTCCATCCTGATGCTGCCAACGGCTCTGGCCCGGTGCTGGCATTGGGCCGGGGCCCGCATGGGTGATGGTGCCGGCTGGGGCTGGGCCCGCCAGCAGCACATGGCCAGCAGCGCGGGGTTGGGGCTGGGGCCATCGGGGCAGAGATGGCCCCTGGTCCGGGGTCGGGGCCAGGTTGGGGTTGGGACCAGGGTCTCTTATCTGGTTGCGGTTGGCGGTGTGGTCAGGGTGTTCTGGGGCTGGGGTCTGGTGCTGGCAAGTCTATCTAATGCAGGGGTCAGCAGCAGCATAAAGCTGTTCCTGGGCAGCCATGTGCTGCTCAATCTGGGCACACCTCTTCCCACCCCTTGGGGCGGGAAGCAGCCTGCGTGCCAATAAAAACCATGCCACATGCCATACTCTGCACGCGTGCCATAGGCTGCCGACCCCTGCTGTACAGTGTGGAGGGAGGGAAGGGACTGATGAAGATGTACGGGACACCTCCACTGCGCATTCTCCCCACTGCTCCCACTTGGCTAAACAGGGAAATCATGGTCCTCTTAAGAAAGAGGCTTATAAACAATGGAAGCTTGGGGCAGGCTCCAATGAGGACTATTCCATGATGGCCTGTACTTGCAGGGAAGAGATGAGATAAGCTAAAGCAGCGAACAAACAGATTAGCAACGGGAATCAAGCACAACAAGAAGTCCTTCTTTAGGTACATAGGGAACAGGAGGAAAACAAATGGGAGTGTGGGGCCACTGCTCAACAACTCAAGAGACCGGGTTACCAGCACACAGGAGAAAGCTGAACTCCTGAATTACTACTTCGCCTCAGTCTTTCACCAGACCAAGGGGAAAACCACACCAGGTAGAGTAGAGGATGAGCATGGTAGGAATAATCATCTTCCTACTATTTCTGAAGAACTGGTGTATGACCAATTTATAAAATTAGATGTAAGCAAGTCAGCAGGACCAGATTATCTTCGTCTGAGAGTGCTGAAGGAGCTGGCCGAAGTCATTGCGGAACCCCTAGCAAAACTCCTTTTCAACATCTTTATTGACGATTTGGATGTGAGGGTGAAGAGCTCACTGGCCAAGTTTGCGGATGACACCAAGTTACAGGGAAGTGTGGTTACGCTTGAAGATAGGCTACAGTTACAGGCGGACCTAGACAGGCTAGCAAGTTGGGCAGATCGGAACCAGAGGAAGTTCAACATTGAGAAATGTAAAGTGCTCCACCTTGGGACAAGCAAACCCCAATGCATCTACAGGCTTGGTGGCACCAAACTGACTAGCACCATGAATGAAAGGAACCTGGGGGTAATAATAGACCACAGTATGAATGAGCCAGCAGTGTGATGCTGTAGCCAGTAGGGCGAATAATACTCTGGCATGCATCAATTGATGCATCTCCAGCAAAGCCAAGGAGATGATTCTTCCGCTCTAGTCGGCACTGGTGAGACCGCAGCTGGAGTACTGAGTTCAGTTCTGGACACCACACTTTAACAAAGAAATGGACAAGCTTGAGAGAGTCCAAAGAAGAGCCACCCGTATAATCAGAGTCTTAAAAGGCAAGTCATACGAGGAAAGGCTGAGGGATCTAGGATTCTTCAGCCTGAGGAAAAGAAGGCTGAGAGGGGACCTGGTAGCAGCTTACTGTTACACTAGAGGAGTACGTTAAAGGCTTGGTGAGCAACTGTTCACCAGGGCAGTTGAGGGGAAAACCAGGAGTAATGGCCACAAATTCCTGGAAGATCGATTCAGGCTCAACTTTAGGAAAAACTTCTTCACAGTCAGGGTGTCCAGCCTGTGGAATAAGCTCCCTCCAGAGGTGGTGCAATCACCTACCCTGGAAATTTTCCAAGAGGAGACTTGCTGGGGTTACCTGACCCCTACTTGTATTTCCTGCCTGTTGCAGGTAGTTGCACCTGATGATCTTCTGAGATCCCTTCTGGCCTTATAATCTATGAATCTTCCCCACTGTGTGAGCCACCCCAGCCTGGCCAGGCAGCAGCAATGACAGCTTCAGCCTTCAGCAGCAGGGAAAAGTGTAGAGGAGACCATGCAGTAGCAGGGAACTGCTGCAGTTCCAGCCCAAACATGGAGCTGCCTCTATTGCTGCTGCTTATCAGGGCTGAAGTCAGGCAGTAGAGGAGCGTAACAGGCAAATGGTGGGGGAGTGGGCAATGGTAGGGAGGCAGGGACTAGAGGGCATAAGCATGGGCTGGAAGGGAAGGGGGCAAGGAGTTGTGGGGGATCTGACTGTCTGCCTCCTTGCTACTGCTTCTCTCACCACAGCAGTGGGAGCGACAAATTTAAGCTGACCCTCCAATAATCAGATGGTATACATTCAAAATTATAACAAATGTATTATTTCCCTTGTATAGAATCTAGTTACTGGGACATCATCCTAAATTCAAAGTCATTTTGGATCAGGGTAAATACAGTAGTAGAAAGCAATGCTTCTTCACTCATAAGATGACAGACTAGGACGATTTAAGATAAATCATAGAAACTGGTTATAAAAAAGCCATGCAAGTGTCCAAGAATGTACTCTGCAAACAAAAGATAGTGCTGGAGTAGCACTTATCAACACAAATAGAGATATGATATAATTGCGTCTCAACTGTTTTGTAATAAGCCTTTTTACATTGCTTATAAAGAAATGCAGTAAATATGGTAACATTTCCACAATTTTGTTGTATTTCTATACACCAAATGTAACTGCCAGCTGAAGGTACAAATAAAATACACCTTCAGCTGGCAGTTACATTTAGTGTATAGAAATACAACAAAACTGTGGAAATGTTACCATATTTACTGGAGTCTGCAGTGACTCTGAACGTAATTGGTTATAATTTTCCAAGTACAGGATCTAATTATTGGAGATTCATCTTTCATTCATCCCCCCACTGCTGTAGGGGAGCAGGCAGGAGGAGGGCATGTAGTATGGGAAGGTCAAGAAACTTGTCCCCTGCCATCTCTGCCTCCTGCCTGCCTCCGCCAGCCTTTGCACCCTACTTCCCCTCCAGCCTCTGCTCCAGGCCAGCAGGCTCCGTCCCCATTCTAGCCTGGGGCATTGAGCACAACCACAGTCTGGTCCTGTAAGACCAGCCATGCTGGTAATGTGCCACTTGTATGTGACCAGGAAGGGGCTGTGCTCAGTGCCCCAGGCTACAGCATGCACAAAGCACGAATAAGGGGGGCACTCACTGCTGGGGGTACCACACACAGTGGACAGACAGGGTCTCCATGGAGACTGGACTGGGAGCCCCAGACAGGGCGCACTAGGAGGGGCAGATGGAATGGGACTGCAGGGTGGTGACAGCACAGGGCCGGGTCCTGGGGCAGAGCCGCAATCTGCTCTCGACATCATGGCTCTGCCCAGGCCTCAGCCCTGTGCTGTTACTGCCCTGCAATCCTGGCCCCACCCACCCATCCCAGCCTTAGACACCACTTCTTGCACGCCCACAGCCCCATTCCATCCACCCAGCCTAGTGTGTCCTGTCCATGGGGGTCCCAGGCCAGTGTCTATGGAAACCCCACCTGCCCCAGCACCCCCAAATGATAGGTGCGGGGTGGATGGACCAGGATGCCCAGGCAGTGGGGCTGGATCCAGTGGCAGTGGCAACAGTGGCAGCCAGAAAGAGCAGCCACCAACAAGGCTCCCAGGAAACAGTCTGGCTGCCACGCTGCCCCAGCCCCACTGTGTGCCTGGGGATGATGGGACCATCCACACGCGCCAAAGCCTAGGCTGCCACCTGCACCTCAGCCAGATGGGTCTGAGGGACCCGCCACGACCTGGATAAAATGCTTGGTGGACCAGATCCAGCCTATGGGTTGTATTCTGGCCACGCCTGGGCTGAAGTCTTAGCTTCTGTAGCTGCCTGCTCTCTGCCCTTGTATTCACTTCTAAGACAAGGGGATTCCCCCCATATGAAGTGGGGGGAACCCTCATATTAGAATCAAGAAAATATGGTATACATTAGAACAACTGAGTTTTACAGAGACTGTAGTTTTTCCACCAATTCAGAATTTGGACTGCAGGGCTAGAGATTCCATTTACTTGTCCAAATTCTTTTAAGATATAGGGACAGTATATTTTAAAATTTACTTGAGACTTCCAGGTATTTTAATACAAATATTTTTCTATCCAAGAATTCTCATTTCATTTATTTTAGTCTGTGTTTTCTAGAAGTCTCTTAAGAACATATCTCTACAAACTTACTGAAATATTCACGGTCTGCTTCTTTCTCAGCTTTTTGGGGTCTATCTGTGCCACAACAACATCTGGGCATTGTGAAGCTTCAATCCTAAAAAGAAAAAAACCCCACACATTTGTAATCTCTCTCTGCTGCATTCCTTAGAATTACATAATTAGTTTGCAAATATTTGTAATATTTGCATAGGGACCAGATCAAAATATGAGGCACTTGCACAATTAAGTTGCGTATGAGAATGTACTAAAAAATGAAAAGAAGAGAGAATGCTTCTAGGAAAGGGTATGCAGCAAGGTTTTAACAGAAACAAACAAACGGAATAGAAACAAATGCAGGCATCTTTTAAGCTTGCTATTTAGGCCACAGTAGATATATACCTTCATTTTACAGAGAGAAAGTGAGAGCAGAGGTTAATTTGTTTTAAATGAGCCAAGCTGTGGCAGTCAGCAGAATCCCAAATCCCTAACTCCAGGAGTTCTCTGCCTTAGCCACAGGACCACCTTTCCTTCGGAGGCATCAGTGAAGGCTATTACCTATTGACATATACAGCTAGTAAGATTGCATTTTAATCCTTCTGATTAAAGTAAACTGGATAAAGACTCCAAACGCTCCCATGTTACTCAATTCCAACATAATACTGTGGGGGGGGAAAAACAGGCCATGATGTGCAGCATGGGGTCAAAGAGTCTTAAGAGAAACTACCCTGATACACAGATGAACACGGCTGAGTCATGGGGGG